TAGCCTGGCCCTAGGGCTTCCACGCACAGCCTGGGCGCCTGCCCTGCAGAAGAACATCCATCCGTTCTAGGGCAGATCTGCTCTCGTGGGACTGGTCGTAAGAGGCTGGGGCAGGAGAGAGATGGCACTGTAGCTAATACCTTGGGGAATCCTTGCCTTTTTGGCAGCACCCATCACAGGCCTGGCACTGGGCGATGTTTTCCACTCTCACGGTTTCATAAATCCTCATGGCCATCCTAGGAGTGGGTACTATTATGAACCCTGTTCTAAAGACGTGTGTAGAGAGTCGAATGCTGGCCTTCAGAAAGCTATGCCTGCGTCCTAACCCTGGAACCTGTGAATGTGACCTTATTTGGAAAAAGGGTCTTAGCAGATGCCATTGAATTAAGGATCTCGAGATGATTTCATTCTGGCTAATCCGGGTCGGCGCTAAATTCAATGACAGTTGTCCTTATAAGACAGACACGGAGACAGAGGAGAGAAGGCCGTGTGAGGACGGAGCTGGAGGTTGGAGTGATGTGGCCACAAGCCAAGGACTGCCTGGAGCCACCGGAAGCTGCAAGAGGCCAAGAGGGGTTCTCTCCTAGAGCCTCCGGAGGGAGCACAGCTCTGTCCACACCTTGATTTTGGGTTTCCGGCTTCCAGAAGTGTAAGAAAATAAATGTGTGTTGTTCTAAGCCACCTGCTGTGTGGTAATTTATTATGCAGCCACAGGAAACTAATACAAGGTGGAAACTGAAGGTCAGAGAGACTGAGTGAGGCACACGGCTCTTAACTGCTCCGTACTCTGCCTCCCTGATCACAAGACTGATTTTTAGAAAACTGACTTTGTTTCCATCCAGAAGGACAGAGGCTCCGGGGCCCAGGCAATTTCCCTGCAAGATGTCTCCTGGGAAAGTCTCCTTCACTGACAAGGCAGCTTCGGCAAATTTAGGAGCGTAGAAACGGGCCTCCGGGAGCCCCAGGCCGTGTGTACATTCACGCTGGCTGCTTCTACCCACCGCTTCTAAGGGCCAGGCAGCATTCTATCTTCTTTACAGACATTGGCTCACTGATCCTCACAACCACCCTAATAAGAGGAAATACTCTTCCCGTTTTACAGATGAGGAAACGAAGGCACAGGGAAGCCATGGTGGAGGGTAGCAGGCAACATCCTCTTAAAAAGCCAATTGGAAGTGAAAGAAGCCAGACATAAAAGGTCTCATAGTGCATGATCCATTTATGTAAAATGTCCACAACAGGCAAATCCATAGAATTAGAAAGCAGGGGCTGGGGAGCGGGGAACGGGGAGTGGCTGCTAGTGGGTACGGGGTCTTCTTCAGAGCGATGAACACGTTCTGGAACTAGACAGAGGTGGCAGTTGCACAGCATCATGAATGTACTAAATGCCACTGAGGCGTACACAGAAAAATGGTGAATTTGATGTTATGTGTATTTCACCTCAATTTTTAAAAAGAGCCAGTTGGAAAAGGGTGAGTTAGGAACGCCTTGTACTGAGAACCCTGATGTGCCCAGCCTTGAGCTTATCGTGGCCCCGGGGGAGGGAAGCACTATTCTCTCTTCACAGATGGGGACAGCAAGTCTCCTGAAATCCTTGCTCAAAGTTACCGTCCTGGGCAATAAGGAGGGGAGCATGACTCCCAGGCCGTCCTGGCTCCAGAGCCCAGGCCCTTCTCCCTAGTCATGCGGCCCCAACACACCCACCTGCTGGAGGGTGAAGTTCTCTGCTTTTTGGCTGAAGTTCATTCTCCCTACAGCCATCAGCAACCCGCAATGGCAGCTTTGCATAAGAGAAATCAGGGAGAAGGGACTTCACAAACAGGCTTTGGTTCAAAAATCTTTCTAAAGGTAGGGCCTAGGCGCCCAGGTGGTGGGGGGAGTACACCATGAAGAGACTGAAGAGACACAAGCCGGGAGAGACGCGGCCCTGGGTGGGCGCTGAGGTCATGGGAAAGAGCCGAGAGCAGCTCTTGAGTGGACGGCCCTGCTGGGTGGCACCTGGGCAGTGGCTCCAAGACTTGCGAGCGTCTCTCAGCTCCTGGTTCAGCTTTCCAGGGACTAATTTCCCTGGGCAAACTGAGGCTCAGGAGAAGTCCCGAAGGCTGCAGTTTCTCTGCCTCTGCTCCAGTCTTTCTCCTTGGACCCACCTTGTTTGTCCTCTAAGACAAGCCCTTCTGTGCCTGGGTGAGATGCCAGCGTTGCAGGCCCAGCTCTCCCAGGCTTCTGCATGTGCTCTGAAACACAGAGCGGACAGAGGTGATGCCCATGGAACCTTCCACCCCAGCGTCTCCAAGCTGCTGTGGGTCACAGCCCACTGCAGACCTCTGCATATAATTCTGGGCCCCAGGGACCCCTGGGGCAACGCATCCGAATCAGCTACGGGTGTTTTAAGATGCAGGTTTTCAGGCCTCACCTACTGCATCAAAGTTTCTGGGCTTTTGCTTTTCCCCCAAGGTCCCCTGGTGCTTCAGATGTAGAAGTTCAAGTTAGGGCCCCCAAACTAGGTCCTGTTACTCACGTGCTTCTGTAAGACACATTCTCAGGGATGGCTGTAAGGCCCACCCTCAGAAGAGTCAGGGAAAAGACAAATGAGGCCTTTGCCTTTTCTGCCTACAAAGTGAACCCAGAACAGGCTGCAGCTGGGCCGGGTGGGGAGACAGACCCAGGTCAAGGTCAGTGCCACCTTCCCTCTAGCCAGCTGCCCTCAGCCTGGCTTTCCCACCAGGAACAGTCCCTCTGCCCAGGAAAATCATTATCAGACCGGCAGTGGCAGCAGCAGCTGTTCTTCAGCCCAGAAAAAAAGTTCCAGAGAAGCGTTAGCTTTCTCTTTTCTATAAAAAAAAGAAAGAAAAGAAAAAAAAGTCAGAGCCCCTCAGAGGACACAGAGGTCCGAAGCTGGGACAGGATTTTGCTGAGCACGCGGGGAGAACCGTCAGGCCGTCCCGCCCGCCAGCAGCTGAGCCCCAAGAAGCCGCCGAGAGCCATGAGCAGCTTCCTCTGGGCTTGCTCAGCCAGGACATCATTTGTTGTTTCTAGAGCCCAATCCCAGCTCATGGTTTCCTCCCTGGTTGCCATGGCCCCGTACAGAAAACACAGCAAACTCCTGGCCCCGGGCAGCTCATTTATTTCAAATATTCCCTGCAGCTGGACTCCAACCATGTTTGGGTGTCTGGACTGGAGCATGAACTAATTGCTCTGTCTTCGGCCCCCTCCCCAGCTCCCCCGGCATACTTTATGGTTCAGTAAAGTCCACATTCCTCATCTTGCCGAGGAGGAGCGGGAGGAAGGGCGGGAGGGGAGCCGTGTGCAGGAGATGGACGGTGGAGGGAGGAGGGAGGGCTCTTCCCATCTATGGCCAAGCCCGAGAGCCTGCTACCTGCTCGAAGGCAGGGTATTAATTACAACCACATGGGCCAGTCTGCAAGATAGTTTTATTAAGACCGCTCCCTTCAACACGAAACCCTGCTCCCCCAGAGGTCTCCCGGCAGCACAAAGGACCTTATTTTCTCTGTGCTTCCACCACTCCCCTCACCGCCTGACCCCACTCCTCCCCCTGCCACCCCCTTCTAAGCAAGCTGGAGTTCCAACTGCAACCCAGACATGAACTCCAACCTAAAAATAATTTCAGCCCACCCCTTTCCTCCAACCGCGTCTGGGGAAGGCAGCTGGGGGTCCCTTTTCCCAATACCCACCTTGATCTTTGGAGACATTGCCCAGGAAGAAAGAATATTCATCAGGAAGATGGTTTAGGAAAGTTTGGTCCATTCTCAGAGACCAATTCCAATCCAGGAACTGCCATTTTCCAGAACAGAAGTGCATGAACTATTAAAGCATTTGTTTGAATGCTTGCTAACATGCCGGGCCCTGTCCTAAAGGCTCATTTCACCCTGGCTGCTCTCCTCCAGGATGGGCACTGTGATGACAGCCATTTTGTGCAGGTTCAGCTAGTGAGGGTCAGAGCCAGCATTTGAACCCAGGTCTGACTCAGGAGGCCACGTGCTCGTTGCTGAGCCAACTCACTAACACCCTGAGACAACTTCCCTTTCCCAGCAGCTTTTTGAGAGAAAGAGCTGACACAGTTGCAAACAACGGTCTCCAAACTCTTAGGCAAGGTCACTTGGGGAGTTCGAGAAAACTGAAGATTCCTGGGCCTGGCCCCAGAAATGTTGATTCAGTCCATCCCAGGCAGGCCTGAAACGTGCATGTCAACAAACCCCTCCCTGGTGAGGCTGGTGCAGACAGCCTGAGGGAAGCTGGCCACGAGACTCTCAGAGAAAGGGACATGGCATTTGGTCCCAGGGGTCTTGGGCCCTCAGGCCAGGGCACTTTTCCCAGCACCACCAGATTCTGACACGCCCACAGGGAACCGAATGCATTCTTGCCAATTCTTTGGAAACCAGTCACGACATGTGATCACATCTAGTAAGTTTCTTGACTATTCACTTTATCACTCATCAATCCTCCAATAAGCCAGAATTTCCTGTCTTTTCTGCTGGGAGGTGGGGTGGGGGGGACCCTGCCCATAGTGACGGGTGGAACAGATTCTCTCGGCCAAGGCTCAGCCGCATCTCTGTGCACTTGGCACTGCACACACAAAGATGAAGGAGGGACCAGCTGTTTCCGAGGGGTACCCAGAGCCTGGACTCTGAGGGCACCCATACCAGCTCACACCCTGCTCCTAAAAGCCCACTGTCGACTCAAACTTTTAACACACACCAACGAGCCAGAGACTCTCGTGGATGGCAGAATCCTTTCTATTGGATCAGCAAGTCCCTTAGTCTGGGCTGCAGGCTCACGAACGTCTGGAAAGGATGGAAATGTTCTAGGATCCCCTCTGAAGGATTCTCCTTCTTCCTTGGGCTCCGGCTGGCATCCCAGCCTCTGCCAAGGGGATCACATTATCTGTTGAAAACCATGGGTGGTGAGCTGTCTGGACCAAGGAGGGGTCGGCCATGCATCTTTCCCTTCCCCCAAGGGACAAAGAGGGACTTGAAAGCGGCTTTGTATTTTAATAAACTTTCCTTTATTAGGTTACTATTATCAACCATCATAAAATAGAATGGCAGTTTCAAAACTGTACAGGCCACAAGGCTCTGGGCTGAGAGGAAAGAAGGGTGGGGTTGAGGTGTGGGGAGCTGGGGGGCAGGAAGTGCAGAAGGATGACAGAAGGATGGGCGATTCATCCCGCGTCCGTGGGAGACGGCTGGGTCAAGGCGATCAGGCTGGGATCCGTGTAAGGGAGACTCTTGTGTGCAACATTCATCAGAACAGGACCCACCCTGACACAGGAGTGAGGGAAATCTTTAAGTCTTACAGGTAAGGTTCCCCATGCCCCCCGACAAAGAACCTCGAAATAATAAGGGGGCAATATACATTCCTCACCCAGTCTTGGCACCAATTTTGTGTTTAAAAAATATACTCCACTGGAAGACTTTTTTGTTTTTTTAAAAAAAGGTACCCTACAGCAGCTGTTAAAAACATAATTCTTACGGACAAATATATATGCATATATATTAAACATTTTAAACAAATAAAGTCATCTATTGTACCTGTACAGAAATAACAGAAGTCAGATTCTAAGAGAGTCGACTTCAAGACAAAAGAAATGGAGAGTGCTGCGGCAGGGTGCTGGGGTCTGCTACGTGTCGTGGGGGAGTTGCGGGGAGGGAGGGTTGTCCCCTCTCTTGCTGGCTGCCCCGCCCCGCACCACCCTGCCCCTCTGGCTCCAGGGCGTCGTGAAGAACTGGGGCTGCTCCATTTCATCCCAGAGCCCAGACACGGGCACTCAGCAGAGACCTGCACTGGCTTCTGGGAGGCACGACTCAGCTCTGGTCTCCCCTACCCCACCCTGCCCCTGGCTCCTCAAGGGAGGGAGACCCACTCCTCCTCCCTCTTGGTTCGAGTGGTCCTCCGGGAAGCTGGAGTTCTGAGGAGCCACGTGGAAAACCTCAGCTGGGAAAGCAAAAGCAAACCCACACCAAGAAGCCATAGAAGACTAAAGAAATAAGACCACATGCAAAGATGGCTGAGCCCAGGTGTAAGTGGCTCCTGGAGAGACACGAGGAGCGCCATGGACCATGCAGACAGGTCCCCCGAGACTCTCATATTGCACGTGAGGGTACTGCTCTCTGGGGGGGCCCGCTCGGGAACTCGTAGCAGAACCCCCTGGAAACTGTAGGTCAAGGACAAAGACACCCTGTGCCACGTGGGGACACACCACAGACCCGGCCCAGCAAGAAGGACAGGTGAGGCACACACATCCCAGGGAGGGGCAGCTGGAAGAAAAGCAACAGGGAGAGGTGACTGAAACAAGGTTTCCTTTCTAAATGGAATAAATAAATGGCTTTTGTTATTGTTAAAAAGAATAAATACAGGGTACAGGGGGCACCGGCCGGGACTGATGCTGGGTGCTCATGTGCCTGCGCAAGGTCCAAGTTTGGTTTCTGCCTTGGTGTCCGGGCTGAGTTTCTGACGTCCTGAGCTTTGTCTGCCACGGCATGGCCCTGCTGGCCTGGGCGCCAGCCCTCATCTAAGCACCTCTTAGCACCTCCAGGGTCTGCTCTCGGTGCCGGGGCTCCTCCTGCTGGCCCCCCACCGTGGGACCCGGCAGGTGGACGACGACACCCCGAGAGCAGCTGGGAACTCAGTGTAGGGCTTCCTGGGAGTTTATTCCATGTGTCACTTTCCAAGGAGGGGCTGTGATTCGGCATAGAGAGAGCTTCCGCCACTGTCGGGAAGAGGAACAGAGGAGCCTGTGTCGAGAGCTGTCCGTGTCCGGCAGGCGCGGCCTGGAGGATGAAGAGGAAGAGCGGGGACTTCCTCCCACGGCTGCGGACGCCCCTCCGAGGCCCAGGGCGCGGCGGCGGCGGCTCGGTGAGCTGGCCCCGGTGGCTGTCGTGCTGGCGTCCTGGGGCGGAGGGTCACTGGTAGAGGAGGTAGGCCTTGAGGGAGGCGGGCAGCGGCAGCGCATGGATCTCGCCCAGACGCTCCTTCCCCAGGGCCAGGCGCACCGAGCGGCGGCAGAGATCCATGAGCGGCAGCGGCTCCGCTGGGGAAACAGAAGAGAGACAGCGTCAGGTTAGCACAGCTCTGGATGGTTCTAGAACAAACAATATTAACAGTAGCAAAAGTATCATGAATATTAGTTTCAATACACACACAATTAATAATTAAATACATTTATACTTTAAATTGATTATTACTAACTAACACAGAGAACCCATCCGGGGCCGGACACCTTTGGAGGCCCTCTGCAAACACTAACTCATTGAATCCTCGCAATGGTTATTATGAATGATTTCGTCATCACAGTGAGACAACATCCTCTCCATCCCCATTTTACAGAGGAGGAAACAGCGACAGAGAGTCCAAATAAGCTGCTCAGGGTGACAGTGCTGGTAGGAGGTGGAGCTAGGACTAGAACCCAGGCCATCCCTGCTCTCGCCCACGGGGCAAGCAGCGGCCTTCAGTGTGCATCCACAGGGCACATGGAGGCCAGCCCTCTTGGCATGCGCCCCCAGCACCAGACCCCACACAGGCTTTTAGGAAAGGAACCATTTTATGTTAACCCAACTGCTCGTGGGTTCTATTATCTCCACCTTACAGCCGAGGGCACTGGGGTGCAGAGAGGTCCTAACGTGTCAGGTTTACAGGCTGGGATCTGAGTCCAGGCCATCTGGGCTCAGCATCCACATTCTTAGCCACCAAATCTTGCTGCCAATTAAGATGTAAGACATGCAGCCTAGAGGCACATATTACAGAAAGCAGAGCGCACGGGCCGTCCAGGCCCAGCTGACCCCACAGCCTGCAGGTGTGGTGTCTACAGAAAGCAGGTGCCTGTACTTCTTTCTACCTGACAGAGTGAAGCTGAGGGCCCAGGTAGAGGGAAACCAGAAATGCCAGCCCAGCCGCAGCAATGGGGACCCTCAGGACCGCGCCAGGCACTGCCAGGGCATCTCACAGCCAGGGGAACCGGGCCAGGGCTCAGGCAGAGCTGCCTCAGGATTAGAATGACTTCCAGCTGCAGCCTGCAAAGGGTACTTCTATCCTCGTGTCCCTGGAGGGCCTGGGCCCTGCTGTCCTGCAAGGAGGGCTCTGTGCACCCCACATCTCAGATAAACCAGCAGCTCCAGCAGGAGTCCGAAAGTTATTCCCCTGAGGCCCGAGAGGCTGCCAGGGGCACAGGGGCCCTGCTCACCCTGCCTCCCTGGAGTGGACCCCTCCTTGCTCTCTTCCCTGAAACCAGGTATAGGTGAGCACACCTGGAGCTGCATGAGGCCACCCCAGGGTTCTGGACAAAGGAAGAGATGAAATGAATGGATCTGTGGCTTCATCCATGGTCTCCCCTTAATGCTGAGACTCCTTTGTGAGCAAAATAAAGATGAGACCAAAAAACTAAAGAAAACTCAGCATTTCCCTTGAGACCCCATTGCATTCCACTAATAAAAAGTGGATTAAAGTTCTTAAATATTCATCAATGTCTCAGAATATTAAAAACAACATTAAAAACTCAATTACTGAAGCCCAAATCTTACAACTGGGGCCTCAGGGGGAAATGGGGAGAGGCTGCTAAGGAGTACAGGTTTCTTTCGGGGTGATGAAAGTGCACAAAAATTGATCGCAGTGATGGTTGCACAACTGTGAATACACTAGAGGCCACTGAGTTGCACACTTTAAATGGGTGAATTGAACGGCACGTGAATTATATCTCAACAAAGCTGTCATTACAAAAAAAATAAATCTTAGGCTTGAAAATGCATTTACTAAATTCCAGGCTTAAAAAAAAGACAAACAACTCCTCTTCATGTCCCCTGGGCGGTCACGGCCCTAGCCAGAGAGGAGGAGGAGCTGAAACGGTAAATGTTTTTCATGGAAAGCTTTGAGATGGGGCCTTTCCTAGACGGTGTGGGATGATTAAGGGGAGCCCTGTCTGGAGGCAGGAGGACAACCTAAATGACCTTCACTCTCTCGGTCAAGGAGTCCACAGACTCCTGGGGGTTGGGGCTGGGTTCCCCCACCCCCCCTGCGCACAGAGCCTTGGGGCTCCCTTATCAGAAAGCATCCTGCCCCCGTGGCCCCACATCTGGCTCCTCACTTCTGCCCTGCACAGCACCCTGACCTCGAGCGGATCACTCCCTCTGCCTGGGCCTCAGTTTCCCCATCTGCAAGGTGAGGAATGTACACCAGATGCTCCCCAAAGTCCCACCCAGCTGAGATCGCGAAGGCCAGAAATGCCTCCCAGCAGCTCTCGGGCTGGACATACTGTCGAGGCCCTGCCGCAGGATTAAGTGGGGGAATTCAGTGGTGCTTCCTCTCCTCACTCAGGAGCCCTTTTCCCTCCGCCCTGAACCGGGCCAGCCCCTTCTCCCTCAAGGATGTGGCTCAGCCCCCACTGGGAGGTGCAGGGGCTTCCCCTGGTGGCTGAAGGCACTTGAGAAAACATCAAGAGTCATCGAATGTGGCCTGAGAGCCCTGCCTGGCTGTGAAGTGACGGCAGAGAGGGAGTTCCCATCATGTCCTCTTGGCTTAATGGGTTTCAGGTCAACTCATGAATATCCTCATGAAAAAGCGTTTCTAAACAGCAGAGGCCTGCACAAGCCCCCAGCTCCAGCTCCCATATTTCTGGTGATCACGCCTGAAATTAACATCAGGCACCAGCGGCAGCCGTGGCTTGTGGAGCAACTATGGTGTGCCTGGCAGGGACGGTGGCCCCAATCTACAGATGGAGAAACAGGCTTGGGGATGTGAAAGTTGGGGTCCAAGGTATGAGAGCCAAAGGCTAGAATGTGGACATACACCCAGGTCCATCAAATTCTAGAGTCTGGCTCTTTTTACGCCAACATGAAGAGGGAGTTCTCAACAGCCCTTCGCAGTTTACCCAAAGGGGCAAAGACCTACAGCTGCCTCCTTCCGCCCCTGCTGAACACGGGTCTTCACCCTCACCACCCTTGGATCACACTGAATAACTCAGGGACGGGTCATGAAAACAGAAGGGACATGTCCTATGGACACGGCAGATCGTCCAAGATGGGCTACGGAAGTGGCAGCTGATGGCTGCAGTGATGTGTTCTAAGTTGAAAATAGGACCACTCACCCAGGCATCCCATGGATGGGTCTATTCTTGGGGGCCTCGAGGTCACAAACAGGTCATCCCCCCTCCAATCCTGTAGGAGGCAAATGATGATGCACAGGGCCATGGCTGGGCGGAGGCTGAGAATGCACCGGCCAAAGAATGGGACATGGGCACTGTGCCATGGAAGACATCTGTCCCACCAATTTCAGTTGGTCACTAACAGGACCCAAGAAGGCCCCCACCTCAATACTTTCGACTGGGGGCTGCAGGCTCTATATCCAGCTCCATCCAATTCAGTGCCCACTGAAATTCCACTGAGGAAGCTCCCAAACGGAGAAGGCAGAGTTTATTCAATGACTCCTGTCAGGGTGAGGCGCGAGGGCCACTATGCCCATCTCCAGGAAGCTGAGGCGCTCACTCATTTACATAGTTTATATGAATGGGGGGGGTGGCGCTGAGAAGGCGGCACAGAAATCAGGAAGTGAATCAGGCGCTATTTATGGGAGCAGAAGGTTGAGGAACTGGACAAGTCCATGTGCCAACTTCCACATTTCTAGGAGAAACGGTTACCTGGTGGCCTATGTGAACACGCGTGGCCCCAGCACCCCAACCCGTGGCTCTGTCTCAGTTCACTGAGAGATTGCGACCCCATTCAAGCCTCCAGAGCCTGGTGCTGTGTCTAGTTCATGGGCTAAATGGATGAACTTTGGGTCTGTAGGTCAAGGACGACGCCTCATGTCAGGAAGTGCCCCTGATTCATCGATGTTCCCTTGAACGTCGCTGACTCAGGGGCCCGTCCTAGAGCATTTTCACTGCAGGCTGCTCCAGGAAATGGATTCGAGAAAGTCGTCTGTCAAGGATGGACATCCCAGGACACGTGTACATTTTCCCTTTACATTAAGCAGTTCTTAGATAAAAGAGACAAAACAGAACACCAACCCCTTGTCCTGGCCAACTGGGGAGGGACACCCAGCCACGCAATGCCAGCACTCTTGGTTCCCTGTCCCCAACTCTGGGAGCCTGCTGTCCTCATATGACAAGCCTTTTGGCGGGCAGGGAGTCTGGAACGACCCCTTCCCCCACACGGCCTCTCTCCCCCAGAAGGAAGCCCCTGCAGGGTGGGGTGATCAGCCTCCCCGACAAGGAGCTTCCCAAGAGCCCAGCTGGAACGGAGGTGCAGGAAGGAGCCACCATCGGGTGACGCGCCCTGGGAGGGCCCCAGGAGGAGGTCACCAAGTCGAAAGGCTCCTGGGGAAAAGAGCTGAGCCTTCTCTGAACCACAATCACTACAAACCACACCAAACTTATGTGGCAGCTCTAAAAGGGAGAATTTGACAATGCTGAACCGCAGGGAAAATGCTTCCTTAGCTGAGAATGCTGTTAAAAGCAGTCGGGGGCAGGGAGGACCCATGGGTCTGGGACCCTCCCTTGGGTGACAGCCAGTCTGCAGCAGGCAAATAGGCCTTTCCCTTCTGCCTCTCCATAGGGCGGCAGGCAGGCCTAGGGGCCCAGCCGGGCCCTGTCTCCCCACGACACTGACCATCTCCACCCCTTTGCCCTAGGAAAGAGTGAGGGGACACAGCAGCCCCTCTGGTTGCAGCCTCAGCCCCAGAGGTCTCAAGCCCTAAGGAAGAGTCAGAACAAGTGGCCAGTGGCCACTGGTGGCTGGACGGTGGGGGAGGTCACACAGGGACACACTGATAACTGCCTTTTGCTCTGGCCCAGGCCAGCTCGGCCTACGGCCCCAGCACAGGGGCAGGGACTCTGCTGGGGAGGGTCCGCCTGGCGTGCAGGGGAAGGGCTGGGGAACAGACGCCCAGGGAGGGTGCACACGCAGCTTTGGCTGACTAGCTCTCAAACAGCTGCTCCCTGCTGAGGTCAGGAGCTGGCGGCCGGGCTGGGGTGGGGTAAGGAAGGAGGGTGCAGACGACGTCCCAGACATCCCAGGGAGCAGTAATGGATCAGAACCACCTCCAAGACTTCAAGAGCAAAGCCCAGGCCAGGCCCACACCAAGAAGATGTACCTAGCCAGAGCTGGGCTTCCGCCTGTCAAGTCCTGCTCCCTGGGTGGACCTCAGACCCGGTCCCACCCTGACTTTCCTCCTTCCTCAGCTGCCTTGGAAGGGAAAGCAAACCCTTCTGGGCAGAGGACTTGGGCACCCTTTGACCTCACCCAATCTGATCGCTGGGCTTCATCTGTCACTGTCCTGACTCCCCCAGGCAGGAGCGTGGGGAGGGGAAGTTCTTGTGGGAAGGGTCTGTGTTTGCTGTCTCCGCATTTGTAGTAGGTGGAATAGTGTCGCCCCAAATTCAGGGCCATTTGGAACCTCAGAACGTGACCCTATTGGAAGCAGGATCTTTGCAGATGTAATTAGTTAAGATGAGGTCATACTGGAGTAGGGTGGGCCCTGAATCCAATGGCTGGTGTCCTAAAGAGGAGAGACACAAGGAGAGAGCCACACGATGACAGAGGCAGAGCCTGAGAGGCATCTACAAGCCAAGGCTCGCAGGCAACCAGCAGAGGCTGGGAGAAGACATGGGGCGGATGCTGCTCAGGAGGAACTGAGCCTGCCCACACCCTGATCTCGGACATCCGGCCTCCTGAACGGTGAGCGAGTACATTCCGTTTTTTTTTTTTTTTTAAAGATTGGCACCTGAGCTAACATCTGTTGCCAATCTTTTTTTTCTCCTTCTCCCTAAAGCCCTCCAGTACACAGTTGTATATTCTAGTTGTAGGTTCTAGCTGTGCTATGTGGGACGCCGCCTCAGCATGGCCTGATGAGCGGTGCCATGTCTGTGCCCAGGATCCGAACCGGCGGAACTCTGGGCCGCCAAAGCGGAGCGCGTGAACCCAATTACCTGGCCACAGGGCTGGCCCCATTCCTGGTGTTTTACGCCACTCAGTTGGTGGCCATTTGTTCCGGCAGCCCTAAGAAACAATACGCCACCCTCGTCCTCCTCTCTAGACCTGCCACTCCCTCAGGCTTTTGATCCCACCCTACTGACGACTCTTGTCCAGGTCACCAGCGATCATCTTGTTGCTGAAGCTGATGGACAGTTCTCAGCCATCAACAATTTGACCCGGCATCACTTTGTCCTTCTTGAAGTCCTTTCTTCACTTGGTGTTCAGGACAGTATTCTCCCCTCCGCCTTGTCCACCAATCTCTAAACGTGGACGCGTCCCAGGGCTGGGCCTCAGCCCTCTCCCCCTCTTTCCCTAGGTGGTCTCATCCACAGGTCACGGCTCTAAACACCATCCAGCCGTGGTGACTCCTCCACTGACCATTGTTCTGGACGCTGTCCTGTCTCCACACTTGGAGAGCCCCCTGGACCGTTGAGCAAGCATCTCCAATTTAACTTCCCCACTTCCACAGCACCCACTCTGCCCCTAACCCCCGTCACCTCTCCCCTGTGGAACTGAGGTGTCAGTAAGCAGGTCGAGCCTGGCAGTTCTAACAACTGACCCTGCTCCCCATGTGTGCAGTGCCACCCTCACGGGTTTTTCCATCTGGATCCTCCAACGTCAAGGGGCGGTGCAGAGTGGAGCCCGTCCATGTCTGTTGGGGACTGGGGAAGGCGGGAAGCCAAGGGTGCCCTGGCGTTACGATTCCGGTGGGGAGGGGTCCTCCTCATTAACCAGGAGCAGTGGGGTGGGCTTAAGCCACTGGGCACTGCAGGGTCCAGCTGTAGGTGTGGGTCTCATAACTCATTCCTACGCTACTCCTCTTCCCCTCAACCCTTTAAATTTCCTAAATGAGAACAATTATGAAAGCAGCCAACTTCCCCTCTGATGCGGAGCCGACCCGGCATCTATCTACTTACAAGACGCCCGTCTGGGCCTCCAGGACTGTTTCGGCAGAACCTCTGCCAAGCTTTGCCCTGACTCTGCAGGGCAACAGTCCTGTTTGAGCGTGTCCTGACTTGCCGTGGGTGACAGGCCCCAGGCCCCTCCAGGCCATCCTGGGATCTGTGTTCTGACTGGAGCTGGCAAGGTGAACAGTGAAGCCATGCAAACGCACTCCAGCGCTGGTGGACCCGTTCCCGCAGGAGACGGGCTGCAGCACTCTCGTGGACACCAATAGTCTCAGTGGCCTGGCGGCAACACAGCAAGCCCAGCAATTCGCTCACCTGTCTGCACAGCACGGACAGTAAACTCCCTGGGGCCAGGGTCACCCCTCTGCCAGGAGGAGGGAGGCCCATGGGCAAGGGTCCCCTGAGATCCTACGGCTCCTAACCCCTGCCCATCACCACGCACGGCAGATTTGCCTGTGGACTTTCGACCACTGTCACCTGGGGAGACAGACTCACAGAACTCACCCTGCTGGTTCCCTACACCAGGCCTGAGGTTACTTCCTCAGGGCGTTTACCTGCTGGATGCACACCTGGCTGTCCCTGCCGATGTCCCATGACCCAGGGGTGCTGGGCTGCACAGGTGAGGAAGATGCCCCATCTGGCTATTGGCTCACTGTCATTATCCAGCCAAAACCAGAGAGGGGGAGTGTGGGAGACGGGCAGCAGAGGCTTCCCAAGAAAAACGTTTAGGAGTTCGTTCTGCCTGATGGCCTGGATGTTTTCTCTGCTACCTTACAAAGACTGAAGTAGGGAGGAGGAGGAGAGGCACAACCTGAAGGTGTGGAGGCTGCGAGACCAGAGTAAGCATCTGTGCTCCTGACCCCCGGCCTGCAGGGTGGGGTTAGACCTTGGGGTGCCAGGGCAGACCTGGCCCTTAAAGACGGACAGCTGGTGCGTGGACGAAGCCTTCCAGCCCACCCCCTTTCCAAGGTGAGATTTGCAGATGGTAGAAGGGACCCATGAAGGAGTGAGGGTCAAGCACAGAGATGGATAGTTCTGGAACCCTAGGACCTCCTGCCACTATGGGCTCCCAGCAAAGAAGCCACAGAGCCTTCCACCTCCCAAACCAGGACAGTGCCGCCACACGTGGGCTATGTTCATGCATAGTTTGAGAAAGGACACTTCCTTTTCCAAAGGTACAGGTGGAAATCGCTGCTGACTCAGCCTGTTTCTAATCCACGTTCTCTTCTCCAAAGGCCTCCTGACATCACGACTGAACCAGCCCCTCTCAGGTGACTGTGTCCCAAAGGAGCCCACTCAGAAGCCTCCAGCACAGAGAGAAAGACCCTAACCTGTCTAATAAATGAGAGAGGCCACTGGCTTTCATGTATATGAAAGGTCCTAGTACCCTCAAGGCCGCAAACCCCAGCTCAGTAACATGCTGGCTACTTTGCTAGAATTTGGTCAAATGCTGATCAAATCTGGAAGCAGGTCAACTAGAAACAAAACCACGTCTATCAAAGACCATCCATCCATCCACCCATCCATCCATCTACCTATCCGCTCATCTATCCATCCACCCATTCATTCATTTATTCCTTCCTCCATTCATCCATCCACTCATCCAACCATCTACCTATCCACTCATCTATCCATCCACCCATCTATCCATTCATTTATTCCTTCATTCATTCATCCATTCACCTGCCCATCTATCCACTCATCCACTCATGCATCCATCCCTCCATCTATCCACTCAACTATCCACCCACTCATTCACCCATCCACCCATCCACCCATCCACCTATCCATCCATCCACCTTTCCACTCATCCATCCATCCATCCCATCCATCCATCCATCCATCCACCCACCCATCTATCCATTCTTCCATCTGTTTATTCATTCATCTATCCACCCATCCACTCATCCATCCATCCACTCATCCATGAGGTGCTGCCAGGTAATCTGGCAGACTCTGGCTAGAATTCCTAATTTAACCAGAGGCAGGTCAAGTGTTGCCTCTGAGGATCTGAATATGCTGGGATGTCTATTTATAGACATTTTAATTCCAACGACTGTGTAAACTTTTGCTGGGCCCCGATAGCCCAGCCACAGGGACACACATGAATCTAGGGACACTGCCATCTTGGAGAGTGCAGAAGACACTTACGGTCGAGTCCGTTCAAGTAGCGCATGCGGATCTCACAGTGGCCCCAGACGGCACTCACTACAGGATAGAGTTTTTTGCCCTTGAGTCCCCGAAAAGCCACTCCCATGTACTGTCCGTCCACAATGAAGCTCAGGGTCCCGTCGTCCATGTCCAGGGCTACCAGGAAGGAGTCGGGGACAATGAATGTCTCATCTGGCTCTAGGAAGGCCGGGTATGTTTTGCTTGGCTGATTTTTGCCATCATGGTAGAGCCGGTTGCGCCCCAAGTCCCAGCCCCAGGACTCGTGGTTATTCCCCACGAGGGTCGTGTACCCAACGGAGTGCAGGGGGGCGTCTGCTGTCGCCACCCCCACCACGGCGTGTGTGCCCCGCTGTCTCATGGCCCACGTGATCTGCCACACATGCAGCCCGCGTGTGTACCCGACCTTGCCCCTGATGGCATCTGTGCTCTGGGCCACCGGATGCCGGTGAAAGATCAGCTTGTCATCCTCCTTCACAAAGACATTGAGCGAGCGGTCATTGTTGTTCCAGGAATGGAGCAGCTGGACGTCATAGGACACGGGGGGCATGTCCAGCAGCAGGTCCAGACGGGTGGGCTTGCAATAGTCCAGACCTTGGAGCTCCTGCTTCAAGGGCCGGTACGTGGGGTCCCTCATGTCCACAGTCTTGATCCCACCGGTGACCTTCTGACCCATGTTTGCCGTCCGTTTCACTTCGCCACTGACTCCCAAGACAAACTCATCAATCGCGGGGCCTTTTCTCCAGTTTTCCAATCAGGCCCGGACAGAATTCTGAAGGACAGCTGCCAGGCGACCTCTGCAAGCTGTGGAGCAGTCAGTATTGCCTAATGGCTGGAAAGAAAAATAGGAGGCGGGGTGAGCACGGGGTGTGGGAAGAAGGGGAAAAGGTTAACTAGCAGCGCAAGGCTGACCACGCGGACATGTCCCAGCAGCCCGGCTGTGAGCTCCCATCACACCCGATACGGGGCAGACCAGAGTCCTGGCAAAGAAGGAAACCATGCTCTGTCCCCATGGCTACGCCGTCATAAAGGAGAGGGCAGTCCGGCTGGCTGTCACGTGGAGAGGAGGGCTTGGGAGCCAGGCATTAGCCTCCACTGTGTCTGGTGCAGGGGCTGAGACATGCAGCCGACACACACCAAGTCCCTAATCACAGTTTCTCCAGGCAGAAGGCCAAGTTGGCACAGATCCTGAAATGAGCCCCAGTGCAGTGGGCATCTTCCTCGGTTAAAGCAAGGGGAAGCTTACTTCCCACGCCTGCCGTTCAGGACAGGTGAAGCCCTGAGAGGCAGCAGAAGCTGTTTGACATGCTACCCCCAGCTCCTCGTCTCTGTTTTCCAGCACAGCCGCCTTCAGGAGACATACCACTGGATCACGTGAGGCAAGGGAACCCGGGGCAGGCAGAAAGCTCAACTCAGGGGTCTGTGTGTGCACTCGGCCAGGAGGCCCAAGATTCCCTGAGGCTGTGGCAACCTCCCCAGCAGGTCCCAAGTCCTGCCTGGACTGGGGGCTGCCAGCTGTGCTCTTCTGAAGGCCCAGGGGTTGACCCTGAGCCAGGTGGGCACAGAGGCTCTCGCCCACCCCCCGGGTTGTTCTGGACCAACACTTGGACGACCACCCACACCCTTGAACTAGCAGCCAATGCTTGGCTCCTCAGACCCCAAGAGCCCATCTGGGGAGGAAGTCTGACTTCAAGCCGCCTCGTTCCCACTCTGGCTTCACCATCCCTTGGCTCCTTTAAAGGAGATGGGGCCGTGGGGTTGGAGGAGAGATCTGACTGGATCTGGCCCGTCCTTTCTATCAGCAGCACCCGCAGGGTTACATCCAAGGAGAAGGTGGCTGACACGTGGGACTGTCAGGTCTCTGACCACCCGTGCCAGTCCTGTCCTCGGTGCCTGCCTTGGACAAGGGCAAGTAACACGTCATTTTGATTTCCTGGGCCCCACTCAAGAGAAAAGGTTCTTTCTGCCATCACAGACCTCCTGGGCCTGCAGAAGGGACTCTTGGCTGCCAGGTTTGGGGGACAGGCTCCCAGCACTGACCAGACAGGAAGAGGACAGGCTCCTGGCTAAACAAATTTAACTAATGTATGCAGAGGAGCCGGGTGGAGGCCATTGGTGCCAGGCTCCTGGGAATAGCGTCATGCCGGTCAATTGTCCCAAGGAGACTAAGGAGCCTGGGACGAAGAGAACACAAAGGAGCCTGGTGTAGGGGGGCTGCAGGGCTCCCCCTGCAGTTGGCGTATTGCTTTTCCACTGTGGCAGAGGATAGAGCCCCTGCTGGGAGTGACGGCAGGGAGGGCTGGGGGAAATCTGGGAACCGGGGACCATTGGCTCCCTGTTGGGTGCCCAGGGCCAGGAGGAGGGCAAGCAGGTGCAGTCTCTCAGGGGCCCCCAGCAGACCTGGAGCTGCCTCCCTTTCAGCTGGAAAGAGACCCCATGAGATGACGTCTTCAGGGCGGCCAGGCCTCCAGGAGGCTGGCTCTTGGTACAGCGTTCCCATGTGGGGACACTTGACCCTGACCCCCTTATCTCAGTGGGGAGGTCACATTCCTCGCTCTTCCCTTTCTGGTGTGGAATGGAAGGCTCCTTCATTCCCTGAGGCACAGCCATTGCTTCAGAGGCAGACTAGGACCCCTTGTGTCAAATGTATGCAAAGCTGGTACACAGCTGAGATGCCCTCTAAAGCCGGGGGGACACCCGGGTTCTGGAAACTTCTGTGGATATCGTGACCTCACCTCCTGGATCTTCCAGGATAATCTCAGTTTCAAGCTTTCAGTCCCCTGGACCCCTGAAAGCCATAGAAACCTCCAGGACTTCCCCTGGCCCTGTTGAGGGGCACCCTGTGGCTTTGTGACCTGCTCGCCAGGGTAAGCGGGGGTGGGGAGAGCCTGGGTTTTGGTGTGGAAATGTGGTCCTGGTAACTGCAGAGACTGGCCCTGGGCTGCAGCCTTCCCTGACCCGCCTCTTCGACGCCTGCCTCCCCAACCTCCCTCTGAGCATCTTTCTGAGCTGGGGAAGGCTGGTCCGAGGCAGTTCTCAAAGTCAGAAGCATCCACACCCATCTCTGTCTGGACACCCCCCTCTGGCTGGTGCCCACGGACCTCTCTGTGCAGGACACATGTCAGCTTCCCTGGGAGGACGAGGAGGGACTCGACTTCCCAAGAGAGTTCATTCTACTGCTTCCTGGAGTGAAGCAGCCATTGCTTTCTGTCCCAGCAGGAAGGACCTCTCTCCCAGAATCTCACGGCGTGGAAGGTCCCAGCTCCACCCGTGGGGACAGGTGGGAAGAGTGAGGAGGCTGGCAGCGGGGAGACATGGGGCAGGCGGGACGTATGGGAGAGGAAGGTGGTGGGGCAGAAGTCCTTCCAAGACATTAATTTAAAATACTTGGAGAGAAACGTGTGGGAATGGGGAAGGACCATTCAGGGAGGCTGAAAGGGGGAAGGGGGAGAGGAGAGGACAAGGTACAGGTGGAGAGCGGGGAAGGGGCAATGGGGTTGGGGGTGAGGAAGGGAGAGAGGGAGGGCGATGGGGAAGGGAGGGGAGGGGAGGGGAGGGGAGGGGATGGGAGGGAGCTCTCAGGCCAGTAAATCTGGGCCTGTACACATCTACACCTCCTACTTCAGCTGGACCAGGGATCAGCAAACTCTGTGTAAAGGGCTAGACAGTAAATGTTTAGGCCTTGTGGGCCAGAAGGTCTCTGTGCAACTCCTCAACACGGCCTCGTGATGTGAAAGCAGCCCGACAGTACATCCAGAAATAAGTACAGCTGCATTCCAATAAAACTTTATTTACAAGCACAGGCTGGTCCATAGTCGGCTGACCCTGAGCTAGACTAAGAGCCCCACACCTGGTCTCCGAGGGACAGAGCACGGCCATCGTGCCACAGAAGATGCTGTGGGAGGGAATCTCCCCATAGCAGGGTCAGTGCAGCCTCAGACAGCGCTCAGAGAAGACAGCAGAAGCTCGTGGTGGGGTGGCGTACCCTCTGTCTGCGTGGCCAGCTCCATATGCTCTCCTGTTCTGAGATTACACCACCTCTGAGTCCACCTGCCAAGCAGATCCACCTACGTGGCCCTTGTGCTAAGCTCCCCCTCCCTCGGCCCCATGTCAGAACCATAGGAGAGGGAGGGCCCCTCCTGGCCCTGGACCACGTGGCCCTGAGTGGAGGGAGTCCCTGGGAGGAAGGAGGCAGGAGAGGGGCAGGAAGGGCAGGTAAAGGTGCCTACAGCATCACAGGGTGACTCCTGCACAAGGGCATGCAAGGGCCCGGCCAGGGCACTTGGGCCACCCACTCTGCTGCTTCTGGGCCACTCTGCCATCTGAGTCACCTCCTAGGTGGTCAATGGCTGTGGCAACCCTAGAGCCACTCTTGACTCACCTTTCACCTGCCCATCCCCACCCTGTGTCCAGCAGCACTTCCTTCTCGACTTCCTGCTGTCCATACCTAGCCACCTCCTTGCCATGCAAGGCCACTGGAGCCATCCAGCCGCTCTCATCCTTCTGCTCTATTTTTGAATGTGGCTGCAGAGATCCACCCTTTTGGGGTCTCCCAGGAGCATCACTAACTCCCTTCCTGGGGACTGCAGTCTGGCAGGGTGCTTCCCCCAGGCCCCTCCCCACGTGCACCTCCCCACTCTGCTTTCCTCTGCCAAGCCCTGCTCCTGGGGCTTGCAATCCTGGGGGAACCTCATGCACAGAATGGTGGGTTGGAGCACTGCCTAGGACTTGCCCTTAGCTTTTCTGAGCTTCTGTCTGCTCCTCTGTATGACAGGTGTCCCATGCTCTACTGAGTGAATGTTCCAGAGAGGATAACTGGCATTTTCACTTTTGTCTTATTTTTATTTTCTAGACCACGCTCTGGACACGAAAAGACCCCCGTTATGCATCTTCTTGGTACCACACCCGGTCCTACAAATGGATGCTGTCTTTGGGCCAAGACCCAAGTGCTTGGAATGCTGAGCTAGAGCAGATCAAGCTTAAGGTCCCTTTGAAGCCAGAGGTCGGCAAACTTGCTCAGTAAGAGGCCGTATAGCAAATATTCTAGGCTTTCCAGACAATACGTAAATCAACGGGCATGGCTATGTTCCAATAAAACTTTATTTACAAAAACAGACAGTGGGCTGTATTTGGCCCAGAGGCCATAGTTTTTCCTGACCCCTGTTCTAAACCCATGCAACACTGCTGACACTATCACCCAAATACCTGGACATGGAGCTGGGGGCGGGTAGGGTGGGGAGGGACTGCATCAGCCATGGGTGCCAAGTGACAGAGACAGTGGTTTGGCTGACACATCTCCTACCACTGTGCCAAGGAGGGAGTGCCCAGTGGACATCACACTTTAGGTAGGAAGTGGGAGAAGCAATCCAGCCCCACCTCTGAGACCACCCCCATTTCCTGCTATTCTGAGCGACAAGTGCAGATGTCTGGGCCTTACAGGGCCTAGAGTTGCCCCAGGAATGTCAGGGCCTGGGACAGCTCAGCAAGTCCTTGGTGAGTCTCCACGAGGTGGGAGGACCCCAGCCCGTGCCTTGACCCAGGAAAAGCAAAGACACAAAGGGTATGGAGAGTGTGGTTGTGTACCACCCCGCAGGGCTGGAAGGGGAGAAGCAGAGGACAGAGACGGCCCTGCTGCTGCCACACTACCTACCAGTCTCACGCAGCCATGCACACTCACATACGTATGTGCACACACTCAGAGCACTGGCGGCAGTGGCATCTGGGGGACAGAGGCGTGCAAGTTCAGCCAGTACCCCGGCCGGTGGCTCCCACTCATTCCCTCGGTGGGAGCTCTTGTTCCCAGAAAGCACTTTCACACGTTAGCCACAGTGT